AACTTCGACCTCGTCGAAAGCTTTGTCTTGGCCTCGCCCGTGGCAAGCGTCCATCGATACACCGCCGTGTCATACGCTGCCAACGACCCGAATGAAGTCAGACACAACATCACGTCATGCACTCATCGTCGGTCGTGCGTAGGATCGATACGTAGTGCAAGTGGACTCGGACGCAGTGTTCGCGTCCGTCTTGGACGGCCACGGGGGATGGGAGGTGGCCGAGTACGTGAACCAGCACTTGATCGACAAAGCCGCCACGCTGCTTGGAAATGCATCTTCCAACGACTTCACCCACGTAAACATGCGCTATCCGTCGTGCTTATCTTACGGTATGCTGGTGGTTGCATACAGATCAAGTCATCATTGTCGAGTGCGTTCGTGGCCACCGACGACGCGCTGCGCGCCCTCCTGCTTGCAGTCTTTCAGTCGGGACACGGGAAAGCGAACCACGTGGGTGCGTGCACGATGCTGGCGTATGCAAAAGGAAGCACGCTGGTCGTGGCCAACGGTAAGCGCATTATCGTTCAATGTCCAATCCACGAACAATCATCGTAGCCGGCGACGTAAGGGCGGTGCTAGCGTCGAACGATGCCTCGAGGGGGCTGGTGGCAAAACCCCTGAGCACTGACCACAACGCCAAGCACGAGTCCGAACAAGCTCGGTTGACCGCAGCTCATCCAAATGAGCCCGACGTGTTCAAGTGCAAATTGCACCGCAACTCGACTCGGGTGAAGTCGTGCCGCGTCAGAGGCATCTTGCAGCCCACGCGGTAAGAACTTCGACAAGTGAATGCATGCTCACAAGCTACTCGTAGCGCGTTGGGGGACTTTGCCTTCAAGTATGAAGAATTCAACACGTTACATGCCAGTTTTCAAAATGGAGGCGACGGTTTCGTCATCCCGCAGCCATATACACCACCGTACATACTGGCAGATCCGGAAACCCAAGTGCATACGCTGACGGATGCCGACCAATTTCTCATTTTGGGTACACATACGTATATGCATATATATATACTACGTAGTATTAAATTATGATATGTATATATATGTATATATATCAATGTAGTTTACGTACTTGTAACCAGTGAACCTGATACGAAGTCGCGCAATTATGCTTCGTGAAAGTATATATTGAGAATGGACCGGTGCATACATTTAGGAAGCGATGGACTATGGGGTAGCTTGTCCAACGAAGAAGTACGACAATAATATTATTTTTATACTTTAAAACCATGGCATTAAAAATGTTATTTGTAGGCGGTTGAAATTGTCGCCAATTATGCATCTCGTGGCGTGCACTTCCGAGCCGCCCAAGCATTGGTCAACCGTGTGATCGCCAAGAAAGTCGAAAAAAAAAAGTACGTTGTAGTACTGATTGTTTCCCTAAATATTAGTATTATTTTCCCTTTCTCGATTTGATTATCGACAACTCCCTTTCTCGGATTTGAAGAATGATTTGTAACTTCACAACTCAACCGATGCTACTGTAGTGTGACTTGGAACGACATTGCCGATTTGAAACCAGGGAAAGAACGACGTAAAGTCCACGACGACACAACCGTCGTGATATTATTTTTCAAGTAGTGAGCAACAAATGTGCCCCAAGAACAACATACATAATCGAGCACTAATAATTCCATGTAAAGTCTGTATATACTGTCAAAGGATGGAGAACGGTAGAGGGGAAAGAGGTGTGATGGAGAGGTGACGAGTGACGAGAATAGGGAAAGGGCAACATGGGTAGAAAAGAATAGAATAAGGCAGATACAATGTGGATGAGAAGACTCGGGTAAAAGAAGGCCGAGGCTGTCCTCACTTATGTGGCTCAAGCTTGAGGAGACAAAAGTACGTAGAAGTGAGGAGACTGAAAAAGGCCAAAGTGAATGCTTATTATGATTGGTGGTAATCGAGGCAGGCAAATTGCGCATCGTGACATTTACTACACCTTTTTTCGGTTAATTTCTGGACCTCACCATACTTTTTCGCGAAATAAACAAGCAATTCGTGGCGGTTCCACTTCTTTCGTTGTATAGTCGTTATATTTCGCCTGCAACCAAGTAGGTTGCAGTATACTAGTATTTCAAGCGATGCTCCTTATATTTCACTGCGTATGCGCTCAATTCAGCGAGTGCTCAATATATTTCGGGGTGCAATCCATATATTTCGAGCGAAAATAGAAAGGAATCACTTGAACCGAAGATCTCGCGGGCTTTGGCTCATTCTTCAAAACGACGGTCGATGGAACAAGCGCTTGCCACACCAGTACGTTCCAATACATACCCTATGTACCTAGTTGATGTGTTCATAGCCACACCGCATCCCCCATCGAGATTCTTTGGTCCACTATAAAGTGCCAGAGCAAGACGTTGCTGCGCGAGCGCCTTGCTGCGTTTATGGGACCTCGTCCTGACGGACAAACTCGTGACGAGTTTCGTATGGCTTACCTTGAGCACATCGCCGACGAAGTCATTGCAGGTATGGATCGCCGATGAAAATGTAACTTATACATTTACAAATGTCGACGTGAATCGCCTGCACCGTTGCTCGTTGCGGCTCGAATACTTCTACGGCCGCGGAGAACATGGAAGACATGGAAGTTGGAGCCTGATCGACCAAAATTTGCATTTTACGTCGAAAGTCAGATTGATTTACTTTTTATATTCAAATATATCGATTGCACCCCGAAATATATTGAGCCACTCGTTGAATTGACTGTGAGCGCATACACAGTGAAATATAAGGAACATCACTTGAAGTATGCTGCAACCTACTTAGTTTTGCAGGTGAAATATAACGACTATACAACGAACGAAGTGGAACCGCCGCGAATTGCTTGTTTATTTCGCGAAAAAATATGGTGAGGTCCTGAAATTAACCGAAAAAAGGTGTACTATTAATAGTACCTCAATGGAATACGAGTGTCAAGAGTGCAAACTGCCTACCCAAAACGAGATGAAAAATAACTAAGGTAATTCATCAATTATTGACACTGTTTTTGGTCAAGTTTTGGCCATAACTTCAAAATACTACTGGAAGGGTACGGGAAATGACCAAAACAGCGAGCCTCAAATGAATTGGCAGTATATAATGCAGCTCGATCGCACTAGCTCTTGTCCTACCTGATAGATACACTAGGGGCTGAGGGCTTTGGATTGGCCTTTCGACAAGACGCGACAACCGGGAACGCACTGTAGTTAGTGACTCAGCTCAAACTGTTCGGTAATTTTAATGGACTTGACATTAAATTGTGAGAAATTATAAAAGACCAAGTAACATAATAATATAACATTGCTTCACATATGACTTGAAGTTAGTCATAATTTATGACCAACTTTGTTAGCTAACTAATGACTTTGACATCAAATGTCTCTCTGACGGCTTGTCTACTGTACTGTACAAGCAGTGTAATGAATGTAGATATTGCAAAGTTAGTTGTAGGCTATCGTTCAAAGCTAGAAATATCGCGATTGCAACATTGTAGCATGAGTGATATGTCCTCAAAGCAACAGTTAGCAAAAAATCGCAAATATACTTTGTAAGTAAATTACTCATGAATTTAGCTCGTAGCGACACTATGATACGTCATTATGTAGAGATAATGCTTTTGAACACGCAGATTAAGTCTCGGGCTGGTCGGTTTATATTGGCTCATGTTGTATGGCTTTGAAAGTGGCTGTCTCAAATATAACATCCAAGTTGATCAACTTTGTTAGTCATCTTTGCTTCCAAATATAACATCACATAACATCGTTTTGATGTGTTGGTTTTAAAAATTCTATTCACGCCATGATAAAAATAATGAAACGGTTTCTTGTTTCGAAAATAGTGCGCTTGGTTGACGACAAAATCACCAACGAAGATGCGACGACGAAGGTTTCTGTCAACCAGGTGAAGTAAGAACTAATCCGATCGTGTAGCATTGCGATTATAGGCATAAGCTCCATCGAGTTCGTTCTAATATGACCATTTTCCCGTGAACGAGAACGATTATTTTAATGCTGATAGCACCACAAGAGAATATAAAACGCCACCATTTTTCATTGAGCATGATTGGACAAAATTTTCAGATTTGTATCGAAATTAAATGTTTTGAGCTTTATTGCCGAACACTTCTTTAAAACCTTGATGTTTGTATTCGATCAAATTAACATGCAAAATAATTTGATCAAAAATATAATTGCATGCATTTCGCAACACGCAATAAAATTCTACATGAATTCAATTAGTCAGCGTAAAAAATGCAGACACATTTTAATTCACAACAGTGACCATCCATTCGTTGCGAGGAGCAATACGCTGCTGCTTCTTTGTCTATGGTAGCGATGGCTCTAAAGTGAGTACTTCCATGTATCACGTAGCTATGCACAACTGCCGTGACGCTCTCATGGGCATGTATGGTGGGACATCGTCATGGGTTTCTAGTTGACATTCTATTTAAATACTTGTCTAACGAAGAAATACGACAATAATATGTTTATATACTTCACTTTATAAACCATGGCATTAAAATGTTACTTGTAGGCAGTGAAAATTGTCGCTGAATATGCATATCAAGACTGACCTGCATGACCGAGACGCCGAGGCATGGGTCGACGGGGTGATTGCCGCGAATGCCGAAGGATTCAAGAACGTTGTAGTATGGGATCTACACCGATAATAGTGGTAAACGATGCCCTTGCCTCCATGAGTTATCCTTATTAGGACCACACAAGTACGGTATTAAGGACTGTACCGTAGTCGCAATGATCAATGCCTTTGCGGAGGAATGTCTTATTCCTCCGCATAGGCCTTGATGATTGCGACTACGGCACAGTCCTTAATACATCATTTTACTCGTAATAAAATACTTCGAAGTACCAGTAAAAATGATAATCCAAACTCAATAAATCATCAAGGTTTGTACAGGCAACTACGGAATGCAAGGCCAACCGAAGTTTGCAACCCTACGACATTTCTCTTGTCCAATAGAATAAATTCTCATAAATATCAACACGTGATTGGATAAATTTTTATTCTCCCGCCAAACTTGGGACTTAAAAAAATGACGGAAGCCAATTTGGTAGTTTGCAATAAAACAATGACATGCATCATGCATTCGATTGCCTTCAAGCTCGAGGCCTTGAGGATACTTGAGACCATGAACGACACAAAGGTCGCTGTCGAGCTTGGAGTTCCAAGGAGAACTGTGCGAAGCTGGTACAGCCAGCGGACTGAGTTGCTTGCCTTCGATGGAAACAAGAAGCGCAACCAGGCGGCCGCCACGAAGTGTTCCCGGACCCACCAGGCCTTGTTTAATTCATCAATGAGTTGCGCAACGCAGAGCGTGCCCTTACAACCATACACATGATCACTTGGATGAAACGGAATCAACGCCCGTGGCTGCTCAATTACCTCATGACAATGAAGTCTGGCTCGGGCTACAACTCCATCCTGCAGTTGCTTCATCGCTTCTGTCAACGACATGGGTTCCCTCGCCAAAGATCAGGAAAGTGCAAAAAGAGTCAAGGCGACCTAGCCGAGATTCGCGACGATTTTTCTCTCGACTTTCATCGATCGTACAGCGCCTACAAAAAAGAGTGCACGAACAACGTCGACGAAACAGGTTTTTATTATGACATACCGCCTTACTACATTTGGGCTGTCCGTGGAGGTAGCTCGAAGATATCATGCGGGGAGAAGCATTCCATGCGCATGACCGCCGTCCTCACTGCCCGGGCTGATGGTACCAAGCTCTCTATCATGTTCATCGTGAAGGGTCAATCAGGCGGTTGTATTGAGTCGTCGGTAATACCTACATTTCCTGCCGGGCACTTCTACGCGGTCCAAGACAAAGCATGGATGGATGCCCGCATGTGGAAACAGTTTCTCCGCTCGGTCCTACACCACGACATTGAGGAGTGCTCCGTTGTGCTAGTTGACAAGTTTGAATCACACGTTTCAATCAAGATCGTCAATGAAGAACTGGGATCGCACCTCTGTGCGCTACCACCAAACACGACGTCGGTCTGTCAGCCGTTGGACGTTGGCGTCATGGCTCCTTTCAAGCGGCACCTACGTGAGTTGTGGCTGTTTTAGGAGATGATTGAAGGTGACGAGGAGGGTCCATATTCACTGACCGCGCAGCAGAAGAGGATGGCGATGGTCAAACGAGCAATTGCCGCGTGGGATATGGTGTCGGCTAACGCCGTCCGCGGCAGTTTTGAGAAGGCACTCGCTTTTGCGCCAACGAATGAAGAATAAACTGATTTTATAATTTAGATATCCTTTACTTTTTATTACTAGGATTTTGTAAAGATTTAGTTCAAGGATAATATTATTTTGATAATTAAGAAAAAGTTTGACACTACCCGGGAATCGAACCCGGGTCCCTTCCTCTATCATTTGATGTCGTCACGCTTAACCACTGCGCTATCGCGTCAAACGCTTACACTGATACTCGATGCATCGTATCAATGACTTGGTTGCGAGATTTTTTGTATATGTAGACGCATAATCTGATGACCTGCAGAAAATGTTATATTTCAAATAATCCAGTTATGCTTCGTTGAGTTGTTATTGGCTGTGTAATATAATTATCTCCAAAATATAAATGCAGCCATGGTGCCAGTCAATTTTATTTGACTGGCACCATGACTGCAGTGCAATGCAATTTTATTTGCATTGCACTGCAGTCATTGGCAGAAAGAATTATCGTACTTCGAAGTAAGGTAGCCAATCACATGATGATATTCTGGTTCAACTCGAAGTCAAATGTGGCCTTGCATTCCGTAGTTCTCTGTAATCATGTTCCGACATAAAAAAGATCCGCGTTCACATCCCTCCCGATTTCTCAACTCTCCGTCAGATTATAATGGATCACTCCGTGCCAGTGCCCGATGACGTCAAAGACCAGGAATATGCAAAGCAAGTCCTGTATGTCCATGTAACGGCGCGCTCCGTCCAGTTGCTTGCCGGTCTGGCGACTGTCGGCACCCTTGCTTCTGCTCCTTTTGCGAAACAACAGGCCGTGTCATTAGCCACGCGCGTACTGACCAACAACAGCCGATCTGTGCTGCTGGGACTGGTCGTGGGTCCTGCCACGACTTTTAGGCGTATGCAGGACCAAACACTTGAGAACTAGCAAGACCTGTTGTCTTGCGCCGGTGTTCAGAACCGACGACTACCGTGCTCACAACGGTGACCTCGATGACAAATCCAAAAGTAAACTTCATTATCAATCATGTCTAAGTTCTTCCTCACAACCAATCATCTGCTACAGTCTACCTCGGCCACTGATTATCTTGGTTGCGCACATCCGGACACGGATGTTGGTCTTCGGCTACACAAACTCACGCATGTGTAGTCGACACGAGGCTGACTCCGAGAACACTTCCCCCCTACAAGGGATGACCGCACGCACGCTCGATGTCTTCAACCATTTCGCTCACGCCGTCTTCATTTATGCGGTCTTTGGTCGAACGACGGAAAAGTACGGGCACGTGTTCATAGATCGAAAGGGCCGGCTCCCATGAGGACTCCAAATCGTCCAAGCCGTACCACTTCATCTTCAATTGCCAGACCGTATCGTGCATGCGTAGGTCTTGTATGGCTTCGACGTAGAACCCTTCATCTCCAAACGCAATCTGCGCCTTCAGGGCTTCGTCGACTTCGAGGCCGCCCTCGCAGTACATACGCAGTCGACTGGCATGGTGCAGGGAGATCGCGTCCGGTGGGACCAACTGTTGGACCTCCATGAGGTGGTCGGAAACCACCTTGACCACACGGTACGAACCCTTCCAACGCAGTGTCAGCTTGCCAGGGTGTTGCAAGGCACGGGCCACCACGACGAAGTCGCCCAGCGCGAAGTTCGCCAACTTGACCGTACGATTTCCCTTCCGATGGATATGGGTCTTGTTTCGCTTGCCCGCGGCCGTTTCAGTCACTTGTTTGTGCATCACAGACAAGGCGTTCGCAAGGCCCACCAGATGTCGCTTGGCTTAAGACTGAATCAATCAATCGTGGCGATTTCCGTACCATCCGCAAGGCCAGACAATGGCGGGGTCGCAGGTAGGCCGGTAAACGCCGTTGTTGGTGCAATTCCGCCCATACGGTACGCAGGTTGCTGATTCAGGGCGGACAGATCAAATGGTAGGACTTTCGGCCACTCCGTGGGCTGCAGCCGCATCTCTCTGCACAGTGTTTTCAACGTCCGTACGATGATGCGGCAACTTCCACGACTCCGTTCGCCCAAGGGCAGTGCGGGGTAACAAAATGGTGGTTCACGCCGAACATGCGGCCAATGGTGCTCACCATTTCGTTCTTGAAATTGGACCCGCAGTCCGACACCCAAGTCTTCACCACATCAAACAGACCGAACCATTCCATAAGGGCAGCGGCCGTATCAACCGCCGTAGCCGTCGCGCTTGCGTGCAGACGGACAAACCCGCTCATGTCGTCTTTGATCACCAAGACGTTCTTCAGTCCGTCCGCCGCTTCAGGAAAGGACACCCAGTCGAAGTGGATCAACTCGTTGGGCTTCGTCGGGTGTCCGTCCTCCGCTTCAGGAAAGGACACCCAGTCGAAGTGGATCAACTCGTTGGGCTTCGTCGCGTGCAACGCCTCGCCCCACGGGCGGGGTACGGACTCACCGTCCACGACCATGCAATGGAGGCACGCCGTGACAAAGTTCTTGACGTCCGTCTTCAAGGTCGTCCACTCGAAAACTTCCGAGACGGACTCCGTAGTTGCCTGAACTCGTCGGTGTCCGGCCGCGCCGGCATTAGCCACGACGCATATACGGTCTTGCATGTCCACCGCGTCAGCTGGGATCCATATCTTGCCCGACGCCGTTTGGAAACACTTCTTCTCCGGGTTCCAGGTCGCGCATCGTTCGCAGTCCGTATGAGCCCGTTGCAGCTCCGTAATACGGTCCGCCGTAGGCCATAGGAACGTGTCCGTACGTAAGGGTGAGACCAATGCCAACTTTCGCATACGGGCGCCACGAGCCTCCATGGTAACACTTCCCCAACGGCTGAGCAGATCGGCCCATAAGTTGTCTTCGCCGGCCACACATTCCACCACGTACCGGAACGTAGTCATCGTCAGCGCCCAACGTTGAAGCTTGTGAACCTGATACTTGGCCATGTTGGAGTTCGATCCAAATGGGTTGAACATGTACACGAGGTTACGGTGATCCGTAAACAGGCGGAACCCGCCTGGTCATATGAGGAGGTATTTATAGTCGCTTGCAGGACTCCACCACCGCAAACGCCTCCTTCTCCACTATAGGCCACCGTTCGCTCGCGCCACGGAACGCTCCACTCAGAAACGCCAACGGCTCGTGCCGCTGGTCGATCGCCGCCAACGCAAGGTCCTCGACCGGTACTTGAGTCGCGATCGCCCCCCATTATCCTTCGCTCGCGGCCGTATAGAGGCAAACCATACGGTCCGGATCTGGGTGGGCCAAAGGCACCATATATTTCAATGTCGACTTGATACGGTCGAAACACACCTGATTATCGTCACACCAACCGACGGAACTCAACGCCACACGGGTAAATGCGGATTTCTTACGGGAGTCGGCCGCCTTGGCCGAGATGTCCATAAGTTTCGTCAACGGGGCCACCAGTTCCGTATACTGAGGGATGTTCGCACGCATCCAGTTCGTAGCACACAGGAACTGTTGGAGGTCCACGGCCCTCTGTGGCGGCTCCAAATCGCAAAGGCCTTGCACTCGGCCCGGAGCATGCGCCACGCCGTCCGCGGAGATGTTCATCCGCACCATACGGTCTTCGTCGTGAAGAACGTACACTTGCCCGGATGCAACTTGAGACCGTACGTCTGGCATACGGTCAGTACTTGACGGAGCAAACGTAGCAAGTCGTCCGTATTCTCGGCGTATCCCAGCAGGTCATCGAGCCAACCGAGCAGACCGTGCATGAGCATGTCTCCGAACAGCTCGTCCATAACGCCGTGACAGTACGCCACCGCATCCGACTGGCCCATCAGCACCCGCGTTGGAGTAACAAACCTGACCGGCGTTATGAAAGAGTAGTACTTCTGAGAGTCAGGGTGTAAGGGCAGTTGCCAATAACCCTTCATCCAGTCCAGAGTGAAGTGCACCGTAGAGCCTTGCAGTACGGACATCGCAACTTCTAAGTTGGGCATCCGCCATGGCATCGGCTCCGTACACGCGTTCATCGGTCTTGAGTCGATCGTCATCCGTAGGTCGCCCGGGTCTTTCTTCGGGACGATACGGGGCGCGGCGGCCCAACGTGACCGAGTGTTACGGTACACCAAACCGGCTTCTTCAAGCTCACGTACGTGCTTCTCCAAGTACGCCACATGGGTCGGTGGGTAACGCCGAAGTCCTGACTTCACTGGAACGGATCCGGGCTTCAGATGCACCTTCAACGGCTCCACCTTGACCGGAGGATCCCGACCGAACTTCAAACGGAATACGTCCTTGAACTCCACCAGTACGTCTTGTAAGCGCCGTACGGACACTTCATCCATGCCCTGGGAAGCGGCGTCAGCAACTTTGCTCATCAGCACCGTACGGACCGGATGGTCGTCGACTTGCCCGTCTGTGGGGTACGGGTCCGTACCCCAGTCTGGAGTCGCGCAGCACATCCCTTCGTCGTCGTCGATGTCGTCCACCAACGTCTCTTCCATACGGAGGGTTCGATGCATCGCCTCACCGGGCGTCGCGATCGACTGGTCGGCAAAGTTCCATTCCGCTTGCTGACGATGCGCGTTCTCGAGCAACGTCTTGTCGCTGTAACCCAGCTTCTGCATGACCGGCAGGCCTAAGGTCAGTTCCACGCCCGCCACAGCTTCGTCGACCCATACGCGCAACCCGCGCAACATCTAGGGTCCACATCCGGTCTTGAATTCCAAACTTCCGAAACGGACTTTCTTGGTCACGACGACTGGTCGACTGTCCGCTCCGTACGGCCGTAGGGAAAACGGTCCCATGGTTGTGATCTCTGGCGCAGCACCCG